ACTGTCTAATTCTTTCTTTCCATTTTCTAAAATTTTGCGCTTTTCTTCCTCTTCTTTTTTTATATTAAGTTATAGTTTCATACTATTCCTTATTCATGACAATGATTTTAATCTTTAAAACTTAACATAACTTTTAGGGCAATCAATATCACCCATCGTTTTCCTCAATATACGGTTTATTTCGAAGATATTGGCTTTGGCCCTAAGGGTACTGAACATTTAGGGGCTTGTTCTCAAATGGCTGTGTTCGTGAAAAGTTCGTTGGTGTATGACTGGCCCTTTAATCGAGCATTATCTCGTTTTGACAAGTCATTTACATTGATTGATCAATCAATTGGAAGCACGGACAAAAATTCCCGAGTGAAATACACTTGTTATGAATCTTATGGTATTTGTACATATCAAAGTTATAGTGCTCCAATGTACGATTATGAAATTTTGCCAAAAATCTGTGATTACTCTGAAGGCAGCATTAGTCATTATGAAGACACATACTATAAATTTATCGAAAGTATCGAGTATCCTTACATCGCAGAAACAACTTCATCTGATGAGGTTTTAATGAATGAGATACTGTATAGTGTTCATCTTCTTGGAAGAGTAAATGGAAGATATTACAATAATGATAGGGAAAGGTCAGAGATTCCATTACTAGACATTGTCTGCAATCAGCAAAGATTTGTTACATCCATACCTGAAGTTAGGTGAGATTACTAATTTATTAAACAAAGTTCATTGCCAGATAAGTTCTTGGCTAATAATTTATCGAAATTACCAGACGTGTAACACGATTTCGATATCTCATCAGCACGCCACAGGCAGATTCAGTAGACGATAACATAACTAAACTATGATGAATTTGGCTCAAACTAAAATGAATTTCACATCAATACTTGTTCTAACTAATCTTTACTCACCGTATCAACCCTTATTAAGAAATCGTTTTTAAGTAAAAAACGAATGTTGGAATTTATTTTATTGGTTTTTCAAATTCTCAGTAATAATCTATTAAAAGTATAAAACTCGGTAATTTTAGCAAAATCGTCGTAGTTAAAAAGTTTAGACAGTGGTCTATAACTTGTTAACATTTTCTTTAGAAAAGTACTACCATGCTAAATGAATAGTAGCTAGGCTTTTACAGTCGATTGTGAAACCATTCTTTTTTTTTATTTTCGAATGTTATAATTTTCTGATTACAGGTGCTACGCCGTGTGTAATTGAATATACTTATAGATTACAGTTTTCATTATATGCAGTGTCATTTGTCAACTTTGTCAATCATCAAAATNAAATTATTTATTTTTTATCTAATCTTATTTGAATCTTGTGAAGGATGGCGGGTAGTTGTCAAGTTGTCAAGCGTCAAAAACTATTATTTTCGAATTTGACGTTTGTGGTTAGTTATGTGGTTATATTAAAATTAATTAAAGAAGAATTATATCTAGTCATGAACCATGATTTTATTATTTCATGCTGCATACTTCTTATTTAAGTTTCTTTTTAGAAATTATAAATGCTTCCAATTTCATAGGCAGAAATCAGCACTACTTGCTCTTCAGTGTACATGTTCCAGTTTTGAAAAAACCCAAGATGCTGAGAACAATTTACTGTTTGATCCTCCAGTTTATAAGCAGAGATACAGTGCAGTACAGCAAATTCTCTTGGATTATAGGTGGAAGAAATACATGAGAAAAGTAGTCGAATTTGGATGTGCTGAATTCAGAATGTTTATATATTTAAAGAACTTGTTGAGTATTGAGAAAGTCGTTTTTGTTGATATTGCAGAAGATATTTTAGTGGAGAATAGTTTTAAAATAAAACCTTTAACTATTGATTACTTAAAAAGAAGAGCAAATCCTTTGGTTGTGGATGTTTATGCTGGTAGTGTGTCATCACCTGATGCAAACTTATTGCATACTGATGCTGTTATTGCTATAGAATTGTAATTATCATTGTCTTTCTATGTCTCAATGCTGATTTTATTATTCAATTTTTGCAGGATTGAACATTTATATCCCGACACTTTGGATGCTCTACCTTACAATATTTTTGCATTTATGCAGCCAAAAATAGCTGTTTTTACTACTCCAAATGCTGATTTTAACATACTGTTTCCAAATTTTAAAAAGTTTAGACATTATGATCATAAATTAATTTATTTCTTTTCCTCTTTTCCATCTTTCTTTTTGTCTTTAAGATTACCAACCGCTTGACGAATGGCTTCAGATTGTGGATCAACGCCAGGCAAATTTTCCAAAACGCTCTGTAGAAAAGCCGGATCGTTCATAACTTCTAAATAGTCTTCATCACCTTCCACTTCCATTGCTTCTTCTTTTCTTTTACTTTCTGCAGTGCTTGTTTCTTCTACAAACAATTTAAAAAAGAATTAAAATTAAAAAAACACAGCAGGAAATAAAAAACTTACGGGCATCTTGCATCGACATTTGCATAGCAAAAGCAATTTGTTCTTCTTCTGTCATATTTGCAAAATCAACAGGAGCTTGAGTGGCTCCTGCTGTTTTCGGGATTTCACCCTCTTCCATGGACATTGCCAATGCTCTTTCTAGCAGAGCTTCTTCATTTGGTTCTTCCTTAATGGGTGCTGCTTTACCTCCTTCGGCCGCGGAAGCTTCCCTAGCCTTACGAGCCTCATCCTCTTGGCGTTGACGTTGTTCTTCCATTGATACACGAAGAGCCTGAAAGTACACAACACAAACATTCAACAACTTTTAATAAAAATCCAGAAGGAATACACATACCAGAGCAAGTTCAGGATCTTCATTGGGATCAATACCAAATTCGAATCCAGGTACTCCTAATCCCGCGCCTCCGCTTCCGTCTTCACCTTGAATTACTGGAGATGATATTAAAGCATCAGATAGGTGGGGTCCGGGTGGCACAGTGACTAAATGACTTCCAGTACCGTCCTAAATTTGTCATAAGATTTAATACTACATTTACATTTGCTTCATATTTTTAATTTTACCTTTCCATTAAGGGTGTTAACAAAGGTGGTCAAGACTTCAGTGTTAGTAGAGTCTTCGCCAAAATTGATAATATCTACATTAACTTTTTCTTTTTTTAGTTTCTTAGCTAGTTTAATAAGTTCCTTTTCTTGAGCTGCAACAGGACTTCCCACAAATGCTACTATACGCATTTTGTGATTTTTTCCTTGTCGGTGTTTTAATGCTAACTAATATAAAAGTAATACAAAATTTTAGAAAATATTTCAATAAGCATAAACACAAAAGATTTACATGAGCAATTCTTATTCCAGTTTGAAGATTTATATTTCCATCAGGCTGGACTAAGTGCAATTTGGATAAAATACGGCCCACATCACTGGTAAGGGTTGCTAAAACTTCCACACTGAAATTTAAGAAAAGGAAAATAAGAACATAAGCAAGCAAAGAAAATCTATGCTATCAGGAGATAATTTCTAGTTGTTTGTCGTCATCATTAGTCCATATCAGATGTTTACAAATAGTATTCTAACAGGGTAATATATCAAATAATTACATCTAAATAATATTTACTTAGCCGACTAATAATTCTGCGCATTTCAATCAACTTTCTGATCTCTTTGTTCTTACTACAAATTAATTACAGGTGGTTTTAAGTAAAAATGTTTTAACAAATACAAGGTAAAAAATAGGATGGCAAATACTAAAAATAACTTTTTAAAGCATTTGTTAGGCGAAAATGGATAGACAAGACCATGAAGTAACTAATTAAAGAAATTTTTTTTAACATACTTTGCTAATGTCAATAGCCCCACATTGTTCTCAGGATTGGATCTTGTTTTTGAATGACAGACCAAATTAACTGCATCTTGCTGAGCTTGTAATCGAGTTGGAAGGAAGTCTCCATTTCGCATATAATCACTGTTATCCACACTAAATAAAATAAGTTATTTTAAACAAATGTTCAATGACTTGCACAAGACAGTACAACTTATAGGTTAGAAGTGTAAAACAGGGACTTTTTAAAAAGAGACGATCAACAAAAAAAGCCACAGCTTACCAAATCATAGTACTTTCTAGAACCATCTTTATCTCTGCTGGTGTTCGCTTTGAAAACCAATTAACACTAATGAATAAAACAAAACAGTTAATCAATTTACACTATAATGGTTCTTGTCTGTTGTTGTAGTAGTCGTTATTTTTCGTCAATCGTCGTAATCGGTTTCGTTCAAACATACAAAAAGTGCAATATACGTTAATTTTACATATCTATGATCTTACATCTCATGTTTAAAGTATTTAAATTTCATAAGCTGCGTTACAGATAATGAAACTATAATATACCGTGTTTTCCCTACAAATGAATAATGTAAAAACATAACATTTGTAAATATTATTAAATTATAAGGTTATTGTCCTTATCGTTGTTAGCGGTAAAAGTTTAGCGCCCTTTTTACATATTTAACCTTAAGTATACTTGAAATGGTCGAAGAGGGGAGATTATTTACAGAAAGGGGTTCATGTATGGCGCGAAAATCGTCTATTTTCTTGTGAACGTAGGAGTTGCTGTTCTTTGTTTTTTAATAGTTTTATCAGGTAAGATTTAAAAAGTAGTAAGTTTTAATTATTACATGTGATTGTTCTATTTATAGCAAGTTAATTAAAATGCCTTACATGGGAAATAAAGAAAATCAGCTTGTGGGTAACAAAAATAACCGCCTAAATTTACAATACAGTAGTGGTTCCATTTTAACGGAAAATAAAGTAAATGCTCCACTTTCTAACTCGAAAAACAGTGACATTAAAGATATGGTGCAGTTTGATCCACAAGTAGAACCATTGCTTAGAGAAAATCCAAGAAGGTTCGTAATATTTCCTATTCAATATCCAGACATTTGGGAAAAGTACAAGGAAGCTGAAGCTTCCTTCTGGACAACAGAAGAAGTAGACCTTTCTAAGGACCTTGCCCACTGGGATAAGTTGTCAAATGATGAAAGGCATTTCATTTCACATGTACTTGCCTTTTTTGCTGCATCTGATGGAATTGTAAATGAAAACCTTGTAGAGAGATTCAGTCAAGAAGTACAAGTAACTGAGGCTCGTTGCTTTTATGGTTTCCAAATTGCCATTGAAAATATCCATTCAGAAATGTATAGTACTCTCATTGACACTTATATATTTGACCCAGAAGAGAAAGAATTTCTTTTCAATGCTATTGAAACCATGCCTTGTGTTAAGAAGAAGGCTGATTGGGCTCTTCATTGGATCAGCAGTAAGAATGCAACATTCCCAGAACGAGTTGTTGCATTTGCAGCTGTGGAAGGAATTTTCTTTTCAGGAAGTTTTGCTGCTATCTTTTGGCTCAAGAAACGGGGTCTTATGCCAGGACTGACATTTTCTAATGAGCTTATTTCTCGCGATGAAGGTTTGCATTGTGATTTTGCTTGTTTAATGTTTTCTTATATTGTTCAAAAACCATCAAAAGAGCGAGTAACAGATATAATTCGCGATGCAGTTAAAATTGAACAGGAATTTTTAACTGATGCTTTGCCTGTAAGCCTAATTGGTATGAATTGCAAACTGATGTCTCAGTATATCGAATTTGTAGCTGACCGTCTTTTAGTAGAGTTGGGTTGTGATAAGATTTATAATGTTAAGAATCCGTTTGACTTTATGAACAAAATTTCCACTGATGGCAAGACAAATTTCTTTGAAAAGAAAGTAGGTGAATATCAAAAGATTGGAGTCACTTCAGATAACATTGGTAACGAATTTAAACTTACAGAGGATTTTTAAAAGATAATCTTAAAATTGCAGTCTATTAGTTGAAGGTTGTTAAAGTCATGCTTACTTCTTATTTTTAATTTATCTTTTATTGCATTCTAAAAATGAAATAAAGTAACAGGGTGTTGTATTAAAAGATCAAGTTATTGCACTTTTATCTTTACAAGCTCTTTTGCTGTTTATGAACTATGTATTTTAGTCAGTGTGAAGTTGAGGCATAATAATCCATTTAGTTATTGGATGATTTAAACAGTCACCAGGTTTTAAAAGACATTTTTAAGTAGTTTTGTGATAAAATCATTTTTAATCTTTATGTTTTAAGATAATTTTGTAACTTTTATTGTAGTAGTTTTTATGTTGTAATGTAAGAATTTTTTTAAGTAAAGTAGAATAATGTGTTATTTTACAAAACTATATTTCATTGTACCATTGTTAGCTTGTATTTGTAAATACTGTCTAAATAAACTTTCAGCACAATTTTGTATTTAATTTTTATTGTAAATATTGAAGCATGAATACTAAGATTTTTTTTATGATTGTAAATATTACTTATTCTCCTTATTTTGAGTAGTGAAATATAAGTATAATGCATACATTACAAATATAAGTGTTATTAATGATTACAAAAATTAATCAATGTGGTATTTATTTTTAGCGACCTGATAGCATAAAAATTGTGAGAACACCGATAAGAGTTAAATAGTTATAAATTACCGGGATAAGCTTCATTCAACCCCAAATTATTTCTTGATAAATTAATTTCTCCCTTATTGAAAGAGCTTATTCTCAATTAAAAACGTCGTTTTCATTTCTTTATAAATTAATTTCCCTCTTATTAAAGCAGTTGAAAGTACAAAAGTTATTAAACATTTTAGCTCAAA